AAGTCTTTGAAACACAAAAATCAAAATAAACAGCAGTTAGAAACAAATTTATCATTGTTAAAATTTTATAAAAAGAAAATTAAAAACCAACTTGATACTAAACTTAACAAATCAAAGGGGTTAAGCAATAGAAATTTAGAGTGGGTAGATTTAGAATCTTGTTTTAATAATAGAATAAAAACTGGTAGTATTGTAAACTATAAAATTAAGGATCCAATTGTTTTTCTAGATAAGGCATTTAGATGTTTTTCAATTAAAATTAGAAAAGAACTCAAAAAATGTTTATTAAAAATAAATGTAATCTTTTACGGCAATTTCATAAAACCGCAAAACGGTGAAACTGACATTAAACATTTCACCACCAAAAATACCGTTATTGACTTAAATACTAATTTAAAAAAATGGTACAGGGAAAATATTAAAAACCAAATTTTAAAAAAACTTGAGGAATTCCAAGAACGCGATTCTGGTTGGGCTCTTTATGAAATTATACAACTTAAGATAAATATAAATCACTACTCTCCAATTAATGTAGGTATTTCAACATATGTAGAACTACCTCCTTTTGTGAAAAATTCAAAATCTGTTATTAATATTCAAAATAAGGATGAATTTTGTTTTTTATGGTCAGTTGTAGCTGCACTTCATCCTGCACCTTCAAATCAAAACAAAACAACATCTTATCCGCACTTTTCAGTAGGTGTAATTTAGGTAACTTGAACTGATACTGTGAAGTGTTTTGTTTGCACACTCTCAATTGTTATTTAAATATTCCAAAACCATTTAAGTTTAGTCACTCGCCACATTACACATTATATCACAAACTTAGAAGAATATCTATAATAATAAACTACCAAAACAATTGCAAGTATGTTAATTTGCAAAAATGTCGTTACTGGGGTATTAAAACAACACTTACATGTTCAGACCGGATGTTTGCAATAAATTTAGAAACGCTTTAGGAAAATCATAAGTTGATTGCAGCGTCATTCGATATTATTCATGGGGATGTGCACATAGAAAATCGTTTACTTTTTTCAGAGGTCTTCCTTTCATTCCATTTATCGATCAATTGCCCATGTTAAATCGCAAGAGCGATGGTCCCTTCATAATGCCAATAGTTGACAAATATAAAGACATGGGTACCGTCGTAATGGGTAAGGTTGAATCGGGAGAATGTCGAAAGGGCCTTAGTCTACTGGTCATGCCCAACAGAGTAAGTGCTTTCTTTTACAATATTATTTAAACTTAGCCCTTCGTAAACCTTGGAGCTTTTATTTATTTTATCTTATGTATTTACCACTAGATACAAAAAGTAAATTTATACGAACTTCGCAAGGGTACTACGGTTTCCGCGTGCGACCTAAGTGAAATAAAAAACTATGAAACGCTAATTTCTCAGAAAAAAGCGAAACAAAAACTACTTATGAACTAAAAATTCAATATTCAACTAGCCAGAAACACAGTAGTATATCGGAAAATTGTACAACATCATTCAGTTTATCAGAAAACCAAATTATCTTGAAAAGAAAAGAATTACCTAGAAGATAGTGTGCTTACAAACACTAGTAATAATTTGTGTTCCTTTCTAGCGAGATCAATTGTAGTGTCTTTTTTTACCCTTTTTTATATGTAGCGGTATACGTGTGGTTATCTGTTAGAATTGAAAAGTATTTTCTAGATTTTTATAATGGAATTTTGTAAAACTAAAATTGTTTCTCTTACTCCCAATAACGATGGGTCATTAGTATTTTTTCTGTGATCAAATATTTTTAGAATTTTATTTTGGAGTTTTCTGAGAGGAACAGTTTCCGTTTTCGTAGACAGAACCCCAAGCAATTATATGTAATTTAAATAATTGTTTAGTCTGTTAGAAACATAAGATACTATGTTTATTTGTGGCTATGCTGATTTGAACACCTTACCTCATTTCTTTGATCAATGATTATACAAGGCATTGTTCGAATAATTATCAGATTTAATGATTTGATAGTTTATTTGTATAAACTGAAAAGTGGTAGGTATAGATAGTTTTATCAGTGTTAATAGTCAGTTTATTTTTGAAAAACCAAGAAGCTGTTTCAGTAATTGGTTCACACGCCTAGCTCTCATCCCAAGTTTTATTAAAGTAAATCAACACTGTATCCGTACATGAAATAATTGTACCTGATGCTGCAAGATCAAAACTATCGTTTATATAGATAAAAAAAGAGTAAGGAACGCAGTGTAGTCTCGTAGGGGGCATCAATTCGAGTCTTAACTTCGGGTACTTAACGCCCTTAAATATTTTTTTTATTCTACTAAGATCAACACTCTTCTTACGGAGTTCTTTAATAAAATACATGCACGATTGATTGTCAAAATCTTTTTTGGGATCAAAAAAAGTTGCTGCGGTGGGGTTTCTATTGTTAAATTTTTTCTGGTGATTATGATATAATAGTTATCAGAAGTGACTAGAATTGATTAGTTTTTCTAAAATTTTTGCTAAATTTGCAATAAGAGAAGTCAGTCTGTAATTTATATTAATGCTTCCCCTACCAGGCTTGTGTGTGGAGGTAATTTCTGATAGTTTAAACTGTTGAGGAGAGATCTTGGTTGAAAAACAAAAAAATTAAAAATAGAGGGAGATTTATTAAGTGCGCTACGTTTTTCAAAAGAAGCAGCCCTTTATCCTTTTTTTAATTTTATTTCGTTTTTTTTTATTTATGCTTTTACTTACTTTTACATGTAGAACAAACAGAATAGCTCAAAACCCCCACTTTTACATAATTTTAGAATCAAGTTGTACTGTTTTGGTGTTAATTAAATAGAATAGAATAAATGCTGATATTGACTGATAAATTCATTGAATCTTTTTTTGTAGACACCAGTAACCGTCGATCAATTGTGGTCAGACGATGAAGAGGTAAGTCGAATCGTACCGGGAGAAAACGTGAAAGTAAAAGTGAAAGGGATCGAAGAGGAGGATGTGAGTCCTGGATTCGTTTTATGTGACGCGGTCAACCCGATACGTACGGGACGCATATTTGACGCGCAAGTTGTCATTCTAGAACACAAATCGATTATTTGCGCAGGTTATAGCGCAGTCATGCACATACATTGCGCCGCTGAAGAAGTCACGGTCAAAGTAAGTATAAATTGTTTTTGTCAAATTTTAACTTGGGATACTTTTGAGCCACTGTACAAAATTAGAGTATTGGGTTTCTCGTGATATACGTAACATACACGTTAATTAGACTTAATTTTATGTATTTCATAAAAAAAATTGATTGTTGTTTTTAATTCGATTCATATTTAAAACAGAGACCAAATCTTTGACATTTTAAATATTTGCGAAAATGAGTTGAAATTCGTAATTGTTTAGATGAATTAAGGTTTTGGGACCGGTACGGAATTTTTATACGATAAAGTACAAAGTTTATATTTTTGAATGGTAACAAAATAACTGAAGGTACTTGCAAAGGAATATTTTTCCATATAGAATGGAAATAATGAAGAAAGAGTGCTAGGAATGACTTGTATTTATGGAAAATATAACATATTGTTGATAAAGGTCATGATTTATTCTAATTTTCGTTTTTTTTTGTAGGCCTTAATTTGTTTAGTTGATAAGAAAACTGGTGACAAAAGCAAATCTCGGCCGAGGTTTGTCAAACAAGACCAGGTGGCTATTATGAGGATCGAGTGCGCAGGCGTTATTTGTCTTGAAGAGTTTAAGAAGTTCCCTCAGATGGGCCGGTTCACTCTGAGAGATGAAAGTAAGTCTGTTTTGTACTATAAAAGTTTGATTAGGTTTTTTTTTATATATTTGTATGTTCAACTAAAACAATCAGTTAAAAAATTTTAATGATAAATAATTAAATAACATCCAATAATTACCGTATATCAGAACATAGGCTTTCACAGTTATATGTAAAATAATTGTGTTAAACGTTTTTCAAACTTCTTCATAACAATTTAATACTGTACTTGGTGATATCTAGCTCAAATGGCATGTATTTGGTTATATTTATGGTTTGGAGATAATCTGAAAATAATGTACCTAATCAATTTGATTCTTTTTACTTAACTATTGAAATATATTACAAATAAAAGAAGGTAGGTATAGAATAAATGTACATGTTTTTTTGTCATATTATCGCGGAAAGCTCGTTTTGCGTACTATGAAATAGGGAAGCAGGGTGACCAGAACTTCTCGACGCGTAGCCGACTCGTGGCGCTAAAGTCGCCCAAAATCGCCGCGATCGATTCAGATGTTAAAAATTAAATATCTACATTACATATACAATTAAAATAAATTTCATGAAAGTCTTGAAGTTAGTCGAAACTCATTAAAAATGGGAGACGATTTATCATTGGTCGAAATGTAGGTGCCTTCATAGCTCGTGATTCAAATATTTAGTATTCACATAAAGTTCGATCTGTGCATCTATATGTACATAAAACTAGAATAAAATTTGTCATAGTTTTTAATTTAAGAAAAAATTTTCATTCTATTGTTTCATTTCAAAAGTCGCCCATCGGCGACGAGTCGTCTGCATGAACATTTTAGTCGCCGAGCCTTGTCAAAAGTAGCCTAAATGGCGATAAGTCGCCGCATCTGGCAACCCTGTAGGGAAGAAATGACCACTTTTCAGCCGTGTTTTAGTCGGAAGGCAATGAAATTAGTCTTTTGAACGCATGCGCTGAAGTTTATAGGCATGCGCAGAAATCAGTTGTTCAATAATAATGTCTTTCTAACCTCTAAATTATTTACTCTTATTTCGCCAACTATCAATTTAATAACGAGCTTTCCACACAAACATGACAAAAAATAGTATACGTACCTCGGGAAGAAACAGGGTTGTCTCAGACTGCATGTTTGCCACCCGAGCCGAAGACATGCACTCTGAAATAACCCTGTTTCTTCCCTCGATACGTAATCTACTATTTATATAATGCACTAGTCTTTAAAGCCTAGCATAACTGTGCTTTGCTAAAGATTCATGGTGCTATATTATCTTATCTCTTATTTGCAACCCATGCTTACTTTAATATACTAGGTGTGTTACTACTGGAGATGCACAAAAATTTTAATAGTGATTTTTTTACATCAAATCAAGGATTCATTGCAATGAATATAACTGGTCATTTTCTTTCAGATAAGACAATTGCAATTGGAAAGGTACTGAAAGTGGTCGAGTAAGTTTTTAATTAATAAAAACAAATAAAATATCAATAGGCCGTACGATGATATTTTTACATTTCAAATGTTGTAAGTGCGCGATAAAAACAAAATAACAAATAAAAAATATCGAAGGATGATCGAAAAAATGCAAACCACTCAACACAACAAAATCAGCTGCCATTCTGGTGGTTCTGTAGAGTGCGTATGATAAACGGAGATCAATCGGTTTTGTTCAAGAGACATTTTTGGTTCCAACTGGTGCTACCGTACATGGAAGGTTTCTTTTCTGTTTGGTGTGTGCGCGACAAGATTTAAATGCTGAAACATGGTCTTTCGTTGAAATTTCTTCACCTGTTCTCTTTTTCTTCATTCCCATCTTATATACGTTGATTTTTATCTCTCTGTATTTAGTTGTTTTCTAATGTTTCTTCATATTTTTCCTTTCACGTTGCACGACAGAGAAGATTTTCTATGTTTTAAACACTCAAATATTTACCTTCAAATTTATTCATTTCACATTTATGAAAATTAAAGTAATATTAATAGGTAATTGGTGATGTATTTATATATATTTTTATTTTGTTATAGTTTGCATACATTCGTTAGTAACTTAGCATAAAAAAAGTAAAGGAATTGAAATCTACAACTCTTAAATTCTTGTAATTATTACTTATTTTCTGTAATTTTTGTTGTTGTTTTTATGAGGATAAAAAGTAAAGGGGAATTGCTGGGGTGTAAAANTATATATATATATAATTTTTGTAGATATTCTTTAAATCCAACTGTTCAACTGTGAACATAATGTATTCTGTTTTGTTTTGAAGATAAATGAAGTTAGAAATAAATGAGAATAATAACAAATTTATGTTTTAGGTGGTTTTGAGAAGCTAGATTAGCTCATTCTGATGTTTTCTTTTGATTTTTGAATTATAGTTTTAAACAAAAGCCATTTTCAACATTCTATTAATATTCGGGCATCATTTCAAATAAATTTGAAGGTATATATTGGCAACCCTGTTAATGTCGATCCCATTTACACCAACATTACGCTCAACGCCCTCCCTCCTCGCATTCTTTAATTACGCGTCTCTTGTATATGAACGAACTAACTTCTCAGCTTATAAAAAAATATCGGGTGTGCTGGTGTTTATTATTTCCTACAATAATTACTCTTTAACTACTATTATCGTTATTTTTAAGGCATCCTATTATTTTTTAAGAAAATGATTATTATTTATTTATTATTGTAATAATAAAATTTTCCCCTCATAAAAACAGAACTAAAGAATACTTAATTTTGAAAGTTGTTGCTAACATTCTTCTTTTCTCGAGTTGATGTTGTCGTTCACGGTTTGTATTTTTCTTTTTATTGTGTTTGTAATGGTCGTCGACAATTTTTGCGAGGTGCATATCGGCAAGAATTTAACAAAAAACGGCTGCAGTTAAGTTTATATAGTAGTAAATGGATAGTTTGCAAAAAATACATTTGTACAACATGAGGTGTTTAGGGGATTTTTGTTTTTGTTTCCTTTGCCATGGTGTTCCAACAAATACTAATCCATTAACAGTAGTCGTCAATGATGTGTAACACTAAACATCGGTCACGAGTAAAATATTACGAGTTGGATATTGATTTCACATTAGTGCTAATTTTATTTTAATATAGTGTTTATAAAATTATTTAAATGATATAAATAGATAATTGATACACAATGCATTTAGAACAGCTGCATAAGTATGCGTAATGATGTTCAAAGTTAGCAGATCGAACGGTTGACAGCTTTTCCCCTCTCTCCCGCTATGAACCGCACTTATATTCAATATAGTGCGCGCTTCTTCCTACCTTGCAGTAACGCATTTTCATCGTATTCACGAAATTATTCCGAAGGTTCCACATACCTAGCGGTAAGATGTTACACATCAAAAATACTAAAAGACCTATCAATTAAAATGCTGCATAAAAGTATGTTTTTTAAATGAGAAAACCTTGTACAAGTGGAACAGTGTACTTATTTATTTTAGTATATAAAACATTTCATTGTAAAATATAACTTCATTTTAATTTTAAGTAATTTTCAGATTGAGAGATATTTCGAAACTGTTTAATTTATTAGGATTTTAATTAACAGACATTTTTAATAACATACCAACAATATGCAATCACATTTTAGGAAATATCTCATTTTGTTTTCCTGTTCTATGACACTATAACAACCTAATGCGGTATTTTAAGAACTGCATGATCAATAACATCCTCAATTGCTAGTCGGAGTTAAGAATTTGTGATATACGCATTTAGTAAAATATTGCGGTTAGAAAGGTAAAGATGTTGTGGTTCTGGGCGGCTTTTATTTATTTTTTTTAAGCTTTGCAGATCTAATTGAAATGATTGATTTTATTAGAAGACTACGTGTTAATTTTTTTTACATATACAATAAATTTAGTTTTTCCCGCCCTTCTCCCATCGAATTATCACGTTAAATTAACTCTTTCCTGTTTATGATTTCCTTTGAAATCCATTGATTAATAAATATTTGATCTTCATGTAAAAAAGAACATAAAAAGCACTTCTTGGTTTCAAAAGTGATACGAGAAGTATTAAGCAGACTACTCTTATATTAAATTTTGTTTAATTTTTTCGTTATTCATTAAATACTTGAATAAAGGAAAAACGTTGCAAATCGATCGTCCATAAACTTGACCAAACGTGTCGGAATTGTAAATAACAATTTGCGTCGCGAATGTGTTGTATGACACTTAAAAGTTGTAACTGTACCNATATAATTTTACAGTGTTTTATGTTTAATTCGATTGGTTTTAGTTTTTAATCGGTTATGAACAATTTAAGGAACGTTGCTATCGATTTTATATACCCATTCAATAAACTTTTAAAGATATCTATTTGTACATTTCTTTGTACTAAAATTATATAATAACATTTACCATAAGATTATTTAGAAATGTACATAAAGCGGATAATGTTATCCAGTAAAAAAATATCAGGTAACAACTAGGCTTAGCAAAATTAATTTTTTCTATTTTAAATTTTAACAATATTTTGATTTCTTTCCGTCGAGAAGAAAATTAGATTTTTTTTGTTTTTAGGAAAGAAACATTCCTGACTGAAAAAGTCACAAAAGATAATAACTTGTTCAAATAATCTTTGACCACATACTTGGAGTGTTCAAAACTTTAACAAGTCTAGAAAATATCCTAATTCCGTCTTAAATCCCGATAAACTTATTGAAGGCAAATGCGTTTTTGTTAATAAAAGGTCTCGATTAATATACCCGGTATACGCATTTTCATATTGTTGAAATTTAAATATATCGCACAACATACTAAGATTTCAACCAAATCGAGACCTTTGCAGTTTTACAAATTAAAAGTGCAGCCTAAATAATTTTTTGTTCTGAAACGCATGTAACAGTACAGTCATTTGGAGAAAATAAATTTGATATCAATTATTATTTACGATAAATCTGTTGTTTTGATCGTCCTTGTTCAAACAAATTTGATTGGAAATGTTGCTGTGATAGAGATATAATACGACAATATATACATATATCTATAATCTGACTATGCACTTTTCATATCTATGGTTTTCATCTCTTTTAGTTCAATTCATAGATTGGAGTAATAAGGCATATTCCGTTCTTGTCAACACGCACTGATTAGACACCACGATTTTAGTTTATTTGAAAGCATTCTTGAAATCTGATAAGAATATAACGTATGTGATAAACATTTTATTTTTATATTCAAATTAAATATTAAAACTAATCGCAAATCTACTACATTCCATTATAATATAATTATAGCTACCAAGCTTTATGGTTTTTAGGTTTTAGGTCTAACGGTATTTATTCTGAATGGAATATTTATTTATAAAACTGGGATAACATCATTCTTCATTTGTCTATGATTCTTCATAAATATGTGAGGTGTAAAGGTAGTACTGGTAATAATAATTTTGCATAATTATAAATCGCTGTAAATAAGATAATCGTACTACCGTATTGCGATGAATTGAAAATTTATTAGGTGTAAATGTAATAACAATTTCCATTGCTGTATTTGCGAATTTTAATCGTTAATTTTAAGCCATCATCAAGTAGATGGCCTTGTGCTTTTATAGGAGTGACAGAACCTAGCAGTATGTCGAAATTTTTTTTGAGCAGTGCAAGGAGAGAAATGCCTCCATTTTGTTTATTTTCTTAATGTGCTAAAAGTGAAGTGTCGGCACCTCGTAAACTGCACCGCTCAGGATCAACTGCCGACAATCGATATAACACAGTAATTGTATTAGCGGAGTGTTACATTGAAATCTGTATATATGATTCTTGCGAGCACCCCTCATTCTGAGGGTTCAGAAAACAGCAGACATTGGGCGCATCGCGAGTAAGCATTTTGTCAAATTGACCACCGTCTCCGGCAATAAAAATACTACTCATTCTGAAAACTTTAATAATTCGTACGGCTGTCTTAACCGCCCGGAAAAAAATAGCAGTAATTTTAATTCGAAAAAAAAAGGTGTAGTTGTGTCGAACGCGAAAGACAAAACGGGGGCCCAAGAAACGCCACCCCTCACTATGAACCACGTGACGAGTAAAGAAAGGGTTAGGAGGAGAAATGGGAGGAACAATTTAGAACCTCAAAATAATGATGTGAATGATGTAGAAGAAATGGAAACCCAAGAGGGTATGTGTATTGTTTTTTGTTTTATCAATGACTATATGTTGACATTAACCTTAACTTTCACGATATCTTTTTAAATCGTCGGTAATTCTAGTTCTAGTGTTAGTAGATAGTTTGCGTTTTTAGTATTTTTTTCTTTTGCGCAATTTTTATAAAATAAGAACATAACCTCAAAATTAAATGACTGGGCTATAATTGCAGCAGTTAGAAAAATTTCTTTTTTATAAAATTTGGTATATTTTTTAATTGATTTGTAAGGTGTGAACTTGAAATGATGCTTAAAAACTGTCAAATGCTGTCAAATTGATTATAGATTGAAAGAATTTTGAAGTTTTCCTTCCATTATTTTCAAAATTGAAATATTGATATGTGATAAGTATATTAAAACTATATTCTTAAATATATACATATACACATAAATTGTTAAAAAGTTTATACGTTTTGTGTATCAGAGTGACACATAAAACTTGAAAAATTGGTAATACATTACGAATATTTTCTTCCAGAAAAGGTATGTGTACATTTAAAACTTGATTTTCGTTATTTTGTGTTTGGTGTTCTGAGCACATCTCAATATTATTTTGGTCTTACCTTGTAATGATTGATAGCCTTAGACATGTTTAATAATTTTACAAAAAGATGCTTAAGAAATAATTTTGCGTGTAACAATATAATTATTCATTTATTTATTTAGCAAAAGCAAAAAATTAGTGATAGCGTAGTTAGAAATAGAGAGGTGTTTTTCTAGTCACTACAGTGGAATATATGACAGATACTGGAGGTGGTGAAATGGACCAGAGTCAAAACGGTGAAGTTATTATAGGCCCTCAACCTGATCCCAGCATGCCCAATGTTCAGGATGCTGAGATGGAAGATGAGGCCCGTTCTGAAGCTACATTTCGTTATACACTTCCAAACTTTAGCAAACTAAAGGTAATTTGGAAATTTTAAGGGTTTTTGTTTGTATTTATTGCATTGAAGCATTTTTTGAATGAAAACAATTTGTATTATCTGTTTTGGTTTTTAATGGCATTGAAATTTGGAAATTATATTATCTTTCAAGTTAAAAAGGAAGAGCCTAAGAATAAAAAACAAGTTCAAGTAATAATTCTTATCTGTATAAGTCGATTAAGATTTTGTTAATCGGCAATTAGTCCCCGTAGTAGTAGGCTACTTGGATAATTGAATATTTAAGAAAAAAAAGTTGCAAAAGCATTTTGTTAGGCATTTGCTTAAAAAAAAAACAAAAGAAGATTAAATATCTTAAATACAACAAAAAAAAAAACGCAACAGTTAATATTGGCCTGAGTACGGTGGACAAGCCGAATAATCTTGAATAGGTACGTTTGTAAGTACAACCGTAGTCCGGATAATTGAGTTTTCACTGTATTTATGTCTTGTCCATTTAATTTTGCGATATTAGTTTTAAAATAAATAAAATTAAGAATTACTGAATTAATCAATTGAACGTGAAATAATCATTTACTTGAGGTTCTTTTAAGACACCTTGTTATAAGTATTACTACTTAATTTTTGGAGAATAATATATTAAATTATTGATTTGAATTAATTTTATTAGCGTTGCAATTCATTTTTTCTCTCAGGATTCGGCTTTATCACCTCCTTGCTATGTTCGCAACCTGCCGTGGAAAATTATGATAATGCCACGTAGCAGCCATACGCAAGACCGCATGACCCAGAAGTCCCTCGGATTCTTCTTGCAATGCAATGGCGAAAGCGAGTCGAGTTCGTGGTCTTGTTATGCAGTTGCCGAACTTCGATTGCTTTCAGTTAAGCCCGGTGTTGACCCATTCACACGAAAAATTCAACATCTTTTTTATTCGAAGGTGACTTACTTAACATATATATATATTTGTAATCCAATTGATCAAATATACTTTTAAATCGGCAGGAGAATGATTGGGGGTTTTCACACTTCATGTCATGGAATGACGTCCTAGATCCTGAGAAGGGTTTTATAAAGGATGATACTATTACATTAGAAGTTTATGTTATAGCAGATGCACCGCATGGAGTATCGTGGGACAGTAAGAAACATACTGGTATGTATTTGTATTTTTGAAAAAACAAAAATGTGCAAAAAACCTTTACAGTGAAGGTTCTCTATTTACATGAAGTCATATGACACAGATATAAAATTTATATTTGAAAGTATTGCTTTTTTAAATTGGAACCTATCAGCAAAATGAAGAAACGTATACAAAAAAAAATCTATTTGCAAATTTTTAAGAATTAACATTTATTTTACTGGTCATTAGTAATAGTTTCAATTGCAGTAGTTTTTAAAAAATAACTCAATTACCTAATTAATTTCACAGTAGAAACGTTTTTTTAGTGTTTTATAAAAATTATCTTTGATTAAATGAAAGTGAAAAATATTTTTTGTTTCAGTTTATCTTATCACCTTTATTCATAAATATGAGTAAAAATTAAAATAACCAAAGTACACGATTTACGCTGTTTGATTGTTGTTTTTTTATTATTACTTATGTTTATTTTTAGGGTATGTGGGATTGAAGAATCAGGGAGCGACATGTTACATGAACTCCCTTCTACAGACTCTTTACTTCACAAATCAGTTACGCAAAGCTGTTTATAAAATGCCTACTGAATCGGACGACTCCACCAAATCGGTAGCTTTAGCTTTGCAACGGGTCTTTCACGAACTTCAATTCAGTGATAAACCGGTCGGCACAAAAAAACTTACCAAGAGCTTTGGTTGGGAGGCCTTGGACTCTTTTATGCAGCACGACGTTCAGGAATTTTTACGGGTAAAATAATATTAATTTATAAAAAATGTAGAATGAACTACTTTTATGTGATTCGGAACCCTAAGGAGTGGTGAGACTTCTGGTGTGGGATTCGCTAAATAATGTTTTTGACATAAACAAACTTGAATAAAAGAATCTGCAACAATTAACCTATAAGAATATTTTTAAAGTGAGATCTTCTTTATCGGCCGTAGGAAGGAAATTTGCTAGGATATAAAACTGAAAAGTATAACGTCATGCGTCACGTAACGCGCCACATTGTGACTCCTGGTGAATATGTTCAAAAGGCTTCAGAAGCTAAAATGTCAGTAGCAACCGAAAATTGTCATTGTATTGCATATGCGTTTCTGTTTGTTTTTATTTGTAATTTCTCTGCAGTTTCTCTACACTAATACACGTTCGCCCTTTTTTTTTTTATTTTTGAATTTTGTAGGTCAGCTTTCCTTATACTTTTCTCAGCCATTGTATACCTGTAAAAACCTTTAGAACTATTTGGCGCATTTCTCGCCAGAGGTATTATATTCCTTTGGGTTCCCAATAGGCAGTACATATCAGGGATTGGGACTGATTTCATGTGGATATTGTTTCCTTGTAAACTCCACAAAACTCTCCTGCAGCTAGTTCACATTGGTGCCACAAGCTGTGATACCTGTACATGTACACAGTCTAAACGGTAGCCTAGCATACTGAATATACTATTCACATCATGCTGGGTTTCCGTTACGCGATGTTCACATTATCTTTTCTGGTTTATTAAAGTACGAAATTGGGATTCATTGCACGTAAACAGCTGCATGCAGTTCTCATGTAGCAAGGAGATATTTGAAAGATTCTTGCTGGACTTCATGGGTGCTGCAATATTGCAGCATTTATAATCGCAGATGGCGCGTTGCCATCTTTTTTTCTTAACTTCTGTGTGATTTATTGTGTGCTTTTGTTGCAGGTCTTGTTAGATAAACTAGAAAGCAAAATGAAGGGGACATGTGTCGAAGGAACAGTTCCGAAATTATTCGAGGGGAAAATGATATCGTATATTCGCTGCAAAAATGTTGATTACACTAGCACGAGAACTGAAACATTCTACGATATTCAGTTGAATATTAAAGGAAAAAAAAATAGTGAGTTATTTTCATTATAGTTTCAATGATTTATTATCTTTATACCTTTTAATGAAATTAATTGATTATTTAAGAAAAATTATAAATGACAGATTTTTAATATAATTCAAATAGAAATCAACGCTTAGATATGTCTTGAAATTTTACAAAGAACAAAGGAAAGATTTTTGTAAGTTTCTGTATTGTAGATATTTAAGATAGAATTTTACAAGTACAAAGAACAAAAAAGTATTTTTGGTTTTCATTGGTTCTATTTAGATTAATCTTTTAAATAAATGTAGGTATTTTTAAAAGGTTTCGCACGACAAATATTTCGTCGTTCTTGTACAGTGCTAATAAAAAAAAATGTGCTCAAGTTTGACAAATTATATTTGGCAGCTTATGGAATGAGAACCGATTTTTACAACTATTTTTAATTGAAAGTAACCATGGGTAGAAAATAAATTTAGATTTTCTAGCGTATGTTTTACTTTATTGGAAAAATAGTAGTTCAAACTCCGTTTTGCAAAAGTTATGCTTTAAAAGAAAAAATCATTTGATGCAATTTGAATTCTGTAAATATTCTGGAAACATAAAATGTCTCGACATTTACGTTTTTGAAAAAAAAAGAAAAAAATGTGTATTACTTCCCCAAAGGCTGTACTGTTTATATTAATGCAGTGGATTAAAGAAAGATTAAAGTTTTCGAAATCGTCACACACACTTACCCATGTTTGTGGTAAGGTGTGTAAGAGAAACTGACACTTGTCCAATATTTGTTCAATTTTTTTTTGTATTTTTTTCATGCCTCGTTATTGGTATAATTTTTTTTTTATTTAAACCCTATTTTTAATTTCAGTTACATATTTATGATCAAAAATGTAATAATTTCCTCGTCACTCAATAGCCTATTTTTTTCATTTTAATTTTTAGTCGATGAATCGTTCAAGGATTACATAGCTAAGGAGACCTTGGATGGAGACAATAAGTATGATGCTGGCGAGCACGGACTGCAAGATGCGGAAAAGGGCGTGATATTTTCCACATTTCCACCCGTGCTCCATTTACACTTGATGCGATTTCAGTACGACCCTGTAACCGATTGTTCTGTTAAATTCAACGACAGGTTCGAATTCTACGAAAAGATATCACTCGACAGCTACCTACAAGAGCCAGATCCGAACAATCCCGCCAACTACACGTTACATGCTGTCCTCGTACACTCAGGCGACAATCATGGCGGTCACTATGTTGTCTTCATTAATCCCAAAGGTAGTTTATTAACAGTTTTTATTATACTAATTGATATCTTCATAGTAGGTTTTTAATAAAAATAGTTTTTGAATTGACAAATTAATCACTTTATATACTTTTATATAATTAATTGTTTTACCGAGGCGTCGGTCAAAAAACAATATAACTAACGTTTTTGTGTAACGTTTCGGTTTATTTAACCATCATCAAACGTTTCAAAGTTTTAAAGCTTACATCTTTCTTCTGTTCATGCCAATTCACTTAATACTGTTCTAAAATTTAACATAAGTTGTGTGGTTTTTGACCGCCACCTGTAAAAAACAATTGGTTTCAATTTTAACGGTCAGGATATCGAAGATTAGATAATAAAATTACCTACTCAAATTCTTAATACATATGATACTATGATTAAATAACAAAATTTTGTGTTTTGATAGGTATATAATAAAATTGTTTAATAATCCCTTAATTATTTTAAAAGAAAACTGATTAGCAGTTTATTAATTAATATTGGCTGGTACTAAGATAGACTGATTTATTAGCATTAGTTAATTTTAAACCTTACCTCATTTTTCAGTGTCTACTCCATAGTTTTGATGATTTCGGTAGTTTTTAATTTTAAGGCTAATTTAGTATAGATGAGGGCTGCTTTTGTTAAGAAAATGTGTCTTGAATGTCATATACATTGATCCGTTTGTGGATGATTTTAGCCTTTTTTTAATTAGCAGTATCACAATTTATCTGGTGTTAATTGCAAATGTGATAAACAACTATTTTAATACCTCATCTTAAATGCCATTTCATAAAAAAGACACCTTTTTAGGTGATGGTAAATGGTGTAAATTCGATGACGATGTTGTATCACGATGCACGAAACAGGAAGCAATAGAGCACAACTATGGTGGTCATGATGATGACATGAACATGACTGTTAAACACTGCACTAACGCATACATGTTAGTTTATATTCGAGATTCGGAACTGCACAACGTATTACAGGAGGTAGGACGCATGATGAAATTACACTATAATTTAGCAATTAATAGATACAATTATTCTCAATAATAATTTTTATATTGATGTTATACGTTGGTAATGAAAGAAAGTGCTTTCAAAAAGATTAAGTAGAAGAAATAGGTTGTTTTTTTAAATTTTTACACCAATTAAGGTCAAGAGTGATATTCATTTAAAGAATGCTAAAAAATTACAAGGGATTATGCAGAATTCATAATACAAGAATTAGTGTTAATGTTTTCTGATCGTTAACATAATCTAACAACAGTCCTTTTGGAGAGTTTTCTTCTCAGTAAATCTTATTTGTTACTTACGATTAATGTAGGTGGTTTTTACCTGTTTGTGTTATTTTACCATGAGCATAATTAATTAGGACTTCTTCAATCTTAAGATCTGATCTTGAATTTCCAAGGTGACTTTATCTTTTGGGTTACAAACTAATAATAGTAATTATACAAAATAGATCTAGCTAGACATTTTACATACGCTTTAAGCAGAATTTTGTCACCCTGGTACTAAAACTTAATTGTCATATTCTTCATAAATAACTTGAAATATTTGATAGAGGGAACCATTGGAGAATTAATAAAGTTCTCTTTGTCACATTTATATTATAAATGCATAAATAAAAACAATTGTGTGGATGCAAGTGAAACTTTTTGGATTGTAGGCATTTAACTGTAAATTTTTCGGAAAATTATTCGATTTTCGGTATTAAAATTTAAATCGCGTTCTTAATCCTATCTTAACGATTGGAAAATGGGAATGATAATAGGAAATCAATAGTACGGAATACATAATAAATACAATCATTCAGATGACAGACGCATATTAAAAATTGACAACAACATTTATTTAAATCACTGAATCATTTTAAACTTCAGTTATTCCATTAATAATTTTATCTTCGCTTTGAGTTTCACAGTCTATAAATGTAATTGTCATGCACTTGCACGAATGAGTGAAAATATAAATGCTACACGGTTAGCTCATGCGAGCCATGGGCGCCACCATATTGGTCTTGGCTGCTCTTCCGAGTGCCTTTCAGTTTTACCCCTACTCCGCGGCCGGCTGTAATGCGACATGCGATAGATTTGATTTAAGGCGATGTAATAAATGTTTCACATTTGGGCGTGAGTAATGGATATCGTGATACTTATTAATTTTAGGTAACTGACGCTGATATCCCGAGTGAGTTAGCGGATCGTCTCGCTGAAGAGAAACGTATGGAACAAATACGTCGCAAGGAGCGCAACGAAGCTCATTTATATATGACTGTTAACGTACTGTTGGAAGACGCTTTTGACGGTCATCAGGGTAATGACCTCTATGATCCGGAACGAGCGGTTTACCGAGTGTTCCGTATTAAGAAAACTGCCACCATGTCTGAACTTATGGAAATGTTGGCTGACAGTTTCAAATATCCGCCCGAACAGTTACGATTGTGGCCGTTCAGCCACCGCTCAAACCAGACTCTTAGGCCTAGCTTACTTGATTTAGAGTCAGATCTGCACAAGAACGTTATAGATGCAGCCGAAACTCAGAATCCGTGGCACATCTTTTTAGAATTACTACCTCCTGATTTGGAACAGACTGCGTTACCGACATTCGATAAGGAAACGGACGTTCTGCTCTTCTTCAAATTGTATGACGCAAAGCAGAAAAAGATCCATTACTGCGGACATAGTTATCTACCAGTTAACAGCAAATTTTCCGATCTCATCCCCCTTTTGAACGAAAGAGCTGGTTTTCCACCCGATACAGAGCTTGTTTTGTACGAGGAAATACGGCCAAATATGACAGAAAAAATTAGTAACCTCAGTGAACCACTTGAAAAGGTAACTATAAACTATAAATTTAAAGGTAACTACATACTATTACTTAATCAAACCTAAGAAACCTTTCATTGATTGAGATGTATATTGCGTTTTTCAGTAATTGTTTGTTATTATTTAGGTATTGGAAGAACTCATGGACGGGGACATTATAGTTTTTGAAAAAGATGAGAGGGAAGAATTGTCCGACCTACCAACGTGTATAGACTATTTCCGTGATCTCTACTATCGTGTCGAAGTGACTTTCGTTGATAAGTGTATACCAAACGATCCCGGTTTCACAATGGAGTTGTCGCAGCGCATGACATACGACCAACTAGCCCGGGCGGTCGCTCAAAGAGTTGGAACTGATCCTTACCTTCTACAGTTCTTCAAATGTCAAAGGTAAAGAGTAACTTATTAAACTATGATACTTTTGAGCAGTACATATTACACTAATTACCAAAACAAGACAGACAGCTTCTAAATTATAAATTTTACATGGAAATTTAATTAAAATAAAATTGTAAGGACATGTAAATAAAAGGCCAAGAATTTTTATTATTAAATTAAATCGTTCCGTCCCTACAAACTTTTTCAAATTCTTCTATAATTTTTGGAATAGATTTAAGGGAAGAAAAGTATAGCTATTATTTATCATAATCGATGTAAAGAGTAAATTTTTAAAATCTACCTATTTTACATAGGACTGCTCTTTTCAAAAGCCGTTTTAAATAGGTTTAAGGGTTTATGTTACTTTATTTTTTAGTTATAAAGACAGCCCTGGACACCCGTTACGTTGTACATTCGAGGGTACGCTCAAAGACCTACTCGTGTTCACAAAACCGAAGACGCCAAAGAAGATTTTCTACCAGCAGCTTAGTATTCGAGTCAATGAACTGGAGAATAAGAAGCAATTCAAGTGCGTGTATTTGTCTCCTAACTATAAGGACGAAAAGGAATTGATATTATATCCAAACAAAAATGGAACAGTCGCTGATTTACTCGAGGAAGCAAAGAAACAAATAGAATTTTCTGAAGGGTCTACCGGAAAGTTGAGGTACAGTATAATTTTCATGTGTAGTTTTTGAATTGGATGTTCTTCAGTCAGTTGATTTAAATTGTTACTGTGACAAATTCAATTGAACACAATATTTTTATTACCATGAAAAGTTCTACAACGAATTGTTTTTTTCGACTTCGTATCTGAAAAATAAAAAGAAACCCCTTAACAGATCAGTCATTTGTTCTTTCGTCTGACACTGATGCTTTTTGATAAAATTACTTATTCACAACTCGTTCAGAGTATAGTATTTATTTTCAAGAAACCAACGTTTCGCCCTATTGCTTTGAAGAAGTCCATAATCTAAGGCGAAACGTTGGTTTATTGAAAATGATTACTGTTACTTACCCGAAAGACTTCTGAATTAGCCATTTTATAGAAGCTTAAGACTTGGTATAGTAATATTGGTATAGAAAAATTTACTTATTTTGTACTACTTATATTAATAATTTATATAAAAATTAAACAAAGGGCAAATGAAGTACTCCAAAATTTTTTTTTGGTTTTATGAATTGTAGGTACCATGATATTTCCTTTGTGGGTTGTTTTTCCTTTTTCGAATTCTACTTCTTTAAAATAGTTGTATTATGAGAATCTTATCAAAATTTTACGCTAGAGGATATGGTACAATCCATTTATATGCTTGGCCGTTGATGTGTTTCTGTAAATCCCAAAAAATAGAAAAAGAAAATCACATGCTTAGAGTGTTCTCTCTTTATCTGAAGTTTTCTGTTTGGTGCGTTAATTGTGACGTCACGTAGACACGAGTCCAAGCAGGATTGCCTGTGTGACCTTCACATGTCGATAGTGAATTTTTCATCATTTATTAATTAATAACCCGGAGACTGTTCTAAATATGGAAATAACCCTTTTAAAAAAATGTATAAGTTGTGTAATGTTGATTTAAATTTTATATAATAATCGTAAGAAAATAGGAAGGTTTTTAATTAGTAAACTTTTTGGTGCCGCTTATAGTGTAATGCATAAAAACTCAATCTTTGAAATTGAATATCTCCAAAATTTTATTGTTGATATATTTCATTTTGCATAATTCAATTCAGAATTATTTAAATAATAATCTGTCTAAATTTTAAAAATCCTATGAAAATACTCTGTGCAATTTGTACAACAACCTTAACAAATAACTAATAGACAGTTTTAAACATTTTTATATCCTACACTTAATGTTTATGTACCATGTTTACAGGTTAGTCGAAGTTAACTGTAACAAAGTTCTCCCCGGTCCAAAAGAAGATACCTCCTTAGAAAATATAAGTATATGTGCGACAAAAATCTATCGAATAGAAGAGATTCCGCCCGATGAACTGAGACTTCAAGATGACGAGGTGCTCGTACCCTGCGCGCATTTTCACAAAGAGGTATTCTCCACTTTCGGAACGCCTTTCTTTGTTAAAGTTAAGAACGGCGAATCTTTCTCTAAAGTTAAAGGTTAGTAGATAGATTGTCTGCTATTATTTTTATTATTTATATGCATTTTCTTTTATTTTAGAACGAATTCAAAAGAAGCTTAATGTGCCGGAAAAAGAGTGGGAGAAGTACAAGTTTGCGATTGTGGTTTTGGGAAGGCCACAGTTTATTACTGAGGACGATTACGCAATGAATATTAGTGAATTTAAAACACATCCCGGCAACAGTAAGTAAATGATTAATTACCTAAAACGTTTGGATTCACATATTTGCTGTTTCACATTTTATTAAAACCATTAAAGTTATCTATTTGTATGTTTTAATTTTTTTCGTATTTGATTCATCTCGTAGGTATATTTCCAGTTCAAATTCTACAAAATTCAGTACTAAAAAGAGAAAGAATTTTTGAAACGGGTATTGTATTAATAGTGGCCTGCAAACTATTTGATATNAACCACAGTATAATACAGAAAATGATAAAAATATAAATCATACAAAATAATAGTCTTAAAAAAAAAAGATACTAATACCAAAACCCCTATAAAATCAGTAATGCCTGTTTGTTTGTCACGGTATTTCTATCAGAAAATAGTTACAATATTTTGTGATTATAAATAGAAATGCAAAAACAAATTTTTATAGATAATAGAAAAAAATGCAGGTTTTACAGCAGTCACCAATGATCTAATCTTGATAACGAGCAAAATGTTTGTAAAAATATTAGAATTGGGTATTGCATTTCACTCTTAATATTATTATTTCCCATTTGGGATTTTAAAAAGATGTTAATGATTTTATTTTTTTTTTTCAGGTAGTAACCCGAAACCATGGTTAGGCTTAGAACATGTAAATAAGGCTCCGAAACGGTCTCGTTTTAATTACTTGGAAAAAGCGATCAAAATTTATAATTGAGACTGACTGCAGCTGTTACGTTTTCTCCCTTATTACCGTTTTCTTGCATTTTCGATCCACTTAAATTCCTTATTCATTCGTCCCCAGTTCCACCTTGTCTCTCTTTTCCCGTTCCTAATTTGTTTGTTCCTTAATTCAGTATGGCTTTATTGTTGCCAACCGAAACTGCATAGCAAAAGTTACTACAACTACTATTACAACTGTTACTATTATTACTACTACAACTACTATTATTACAGTATACATGCCCTCCCTCATCTCTCTTTTAAACTTATGACGAAGAAAAAAGTAGAAAACAAAATGAACAGCAACAACACTTTCGTTTTTAAATCGTAGATTGTATACAGTTTTTTACTGTAGGGGCCCTCTCCCTGTATATTTCGAGGTGCGCGGTTTATGTGTGATTTTACAATTTTTTGATTATTATTATCTTCGCCGTCATAATCGTCTTTGTAAATATTAATTGATTTATCGCTCGCTCGCCCCCTCCCTCCCTAATCCGAATTGTGGAAATTTTTCGATTAATACTATTATTATTATTATTATATTACTCACTGTTAATTGTATTTATGTTGAGGATGATGAAGATGTGTTTATTACCTATTAAATTTGTGACGGACATGAGCGATTTTAATTGCGCGACATATAACATGTATTTTTATTTTGTTTTTCGCTTGACTAACCCATTTTTTTGTATAAAAATAATTAAAAAAGAAAAAGTGACGAACTATCGTAGTACTTGATTGTCTCGTTTCCTTTTTCTTTTTTTTTTTTTTAATTATTTCAAAGGAAGGAATCGTCTATTCGATTGGCTTTTATTATTCCAACCACTGTTGTGTAACGCATGTGTCTTTATAATCTATTTTTGTTGCTGCTGTAAATACCTACTACACAGGTGTAATATGTGAAAATATGTATTTATATGGTAATTGTACTTCTGAATAAATTCTACACAGTTGAAACGATTACCCAGAAAGCACTGGCGTTGTCTGTTTGCAGCATTTACGTTCCTTTTGAATATGAAGAATAGGTAATTTAATAAATAAATGGCGGTTTTAATGTCGAATAACTCTAACATTAAACTTAACCAAATGGATCGAAAAATAATACTGTTTTTGGCGTGTAGTTGATAATTAATTAATTGAATGCAAACAATAGGACACCAACAATCAAACGTTGGTATAACCACTATGACCTGGCCTTCCGCATAGAAGTGTGTGCGGATGTCAGTTAGTGAGCATTTGGCTTGATCTAAGGTACAGATCTGCGCATGCTATTGAAGGTTAGATTATGTTGAGTTTTGTTGCCTTGATTAGAAAAAAAAAAGATAAAAAAGTGAATCATATAGTTAATTAGAAGTTAATCAAATAATCCGAAATGGTAGTGATAGGGAGAATTTTGATTGATTATTTTATGTGAGGTGTTTTGTTTGTATGATTGCTTATAGTTGCCTGACCAACTTTGGGCTTCGTGACCATAAACCGTTGTGCCGGTAGATTTACTTTATCAGTTCAAATCCAACTTTTTCAACTTATTGAACGATACACGAGAGTTTGTGAAAGTAAGACGAATTCCACCTTCAGTCTTTGGATTCTCATTGTTTCTATTTATTTATTAATTACACAAGAGAGCATTGTTTTATTGAATTATTTGACTTTGAAATTACCCGTTTATTTTGTAGAATTTAAAACTTAACTAAAAAAATCAGATGTAGTGTTTCAATTGAGTAAGAATCTGAAAGGTGCAGTTTATTCCACTTCCAAAGAAATTGTAATAAGTGCTTCAGGAATTTTTAAAGATTAACTCTTAAAATTTTTCGAAGTAAACTGTTAGTATATCGATTCTTTTCGCATTTCTTTTGAAAGCAGTATTACTTAACACAGAATTTTATTTTTGCCAAAGGTGCATTAGTATCAGGACACTTGTAATATATGATATACTATTAATGTTGTAATAAAAAAAAAGAAAAAGCATAATATAAAGTTTTAGTCATTTGAATCGTTATAAAAGGAAAAAAAATATTATATAACAGACACTTGACAATGTTTATATGATAAAATTGAAGAATGAATTAAGCTTTCATGGCCGCCATATTTGCTAAAGTAAATATTCGCTTTAGGCTTCTTGGTCGTTGTCGTTGGAAATTTCTTAGTGAATAAATCCATTTAAGAGAACTTCGGCTGAAATAGCCACTTCGATACACTTGCGATAATATTGCGGTGGTTATAGACGAAACGTCGGGACACAGTATAGAGATTCTATACAGTAGGTTACTTCCTAGCCACGCCCATACATCCCTCTGCTGCCGACTCGTCACTACTTCATGTACGAGTTCTCCGCTAAGCAGGGGCTGGCTTGTATAGAGTGTCATGGTGAAGCCACAGTACAAATATGTACATTTTGTATCTAAACACTGGTAAAACTATTGAACCGTCCTAGTATATGGTAGTTCAGAGCACATAAAGTTAATTTATGAGATCAAAGGAATGAACCTGCTGTATAAAATTTTTATACGATGGTTGGTATGGATTTAAGGATAACTAGAAATATCCTAAACAAAATATTTACCTTACCAATTTACGCCTAGTTGACTAATTATCTTGGTTTAAATTAGTAAAATAAGAAATAGATGATAATAATAGAAAATAAGTTACTTAAATGTGCTTTCTGTTCAACCATTGCAGATTGAAGGGTTGCATAAGTGAGGCGTTCCATTTACAATAATTTCAATGTGGTTAGCTAATTAATCAGTGTGCTAAGAAATAGTTACGAAACAATATAAAAAAGGAAAATATTACGTTTTACGGAACTGAATTAAATAAAACACTAAAATCCAAAATTCCATTTAAAAATGTCTAAAAAAACTAACCAAGGATACCTTGGGTGGTGAAACAAATTTTAGGCTTTTTAAATGTTTTTATGGAGAATTTAATACAAAAGAATAATATATTTAATTGAAAAAGTTTAATTTGGTTCGTATTTAACGATAAGAAAAAGAATTTTTTGTGAATGTTCTAAAAAAAATTGAAAATCGGAAAAATGTGTTTGAAAATGGATGAATTGTCAAACGTAAATGTCTCGGAAATTAAAGAATTTTTTCAAAACAGACGTATTTGTATTGTTAAAGAACAAAATTCGTTTGAGAAAAAAGCAGTACATTTTGACGCCACGGAACAAGAAAACATTTACAAGTAAGTCAATCGAAAAAGTAATATCTCGAATTTACATTTTTTTCGTAATATTGTTCTAAGTAGCACCTTATCAGACGTTAAGAAACAATCTGTAAATTGAAAATCATTGCCTTATACGTATTTGTGTTAACCGTGAATGTACAGCAACAAACTGTTTGGCATATTAACAGTGTTGTTGATATTAATCGGTTAAAGAAGGTCTAAATATGGTAAACGTTTTCATAAGAAAGTTTAATGTTTTTGCATGAGTCATACGTAATACAAACATTTCATCATTGCTTTAAAATGATGATCACTATGAAGACTACAATTTTTGGCGACATATGTGAAGATTATTAAAACCCATGTTATAACAAAAAATTATCAGTTGGAAAAGTTATATATACTTTGTAGACTTTGGCTGAGAAACAGGTTCATGACATCACCCCATGAAAACGTTAAAAACTGGAAACATGCAACAATTAGTGTACAAATACTAATAATCTAATGAATTAAAAATATTATTTGATGACGAGTTGGGTACATTTATAAATTATTGATAAGAAATGTAAATCTTCTTGTTCGGAAGAAAAAATTGTTAACCATCATTAAAAAAGCGGCAATGTTTTAAACTTCGCTTTCATTCGGATATAATCGAGCGCCAACGAACGATCGTACCGACAAATCGCTGCTGTCATTTATGTACTTGCACGAGTTCAGTTTAAAATCACGCGTTCGGATGTTGAAAGCGTTCACTGTTTAGTGGATACGTTTCCATTGTTAGTTTTCGTTATCGATAATACAACAATTCTGCGTGGGATCGATGCATTTTTATACTAAATCGGCTTACGTTGTATTATTTGTGTGAGTGCTTTTTGTCGAGGTTCGGGTCCGCGACCGTTTACAACTACCTACCACCATGGCGGACGTAGACTCAAAAGATCGTTACGATCCTGAACTGAAATATCTTTCTGTGGACAGGAACAGTTATAACGATCCGGGGGCACAAGCAGAATGGACACAAAAGAGGCTGATATGGATTCCTCACGAGTCCCAGGGATTCGTGGCAGCGAGTATAAAAGGAGAAAAAGGGGACGAATTCGAGGTGGAGATTCAGGAGACCGGCAAAAGGACTTTGGTGTCTAAGGATGACATCCAAAAGATGAATCCGCCTAAATTCGACAAAGTCGAAGATATGGCAGAGTTAACTTGTCTAAATGAAGCTTGCGTTTTGCACAATTTAAAGGACAGATATTATTCCGGCCTGATCTATGTGAGTTACTTTTTTGATTTCAAAATGTACTTTTTTTTCTGCATACTCATGTACTATTTATGTACTGATTAGTATAATTATTAGTTTCTCATCAATGAATTAACTTTCGCAATTGCGGGAGGTAAAGGCAAGATTGTATGCTATTTTATTTAGTGTTTCTATGTACTATGGAGGTAGGTTAGGTGTTCTTGCCTTACGACTCACCGTGTGAATCACCTGCATATTTGGTGACACCTGTTGGGAGGTATTTTCGCAATGTCGTTGTATATAACGAAAATAAGCAATGAAATGAATTAAAAACGTGAAACATTTGTTTCTAAATCATGTTATTCTCATTTCCGTATGCGATTTAACGAAAACTACATGCGATTACGTTAATTTTAATGAGCGACAAAGGAACAAAAGAGAAGAGTCAGTGGTCGATGGTCGTTGTCTTTTGTTATCGTGAAGGCAGCGTAGGCGGATATTAAAAATGCAGTTTACATGGAACGCCTTATTATTCGATTTACTTATCAAATAAGCGGCGATACGAAAGTTCAAAATGAAATGTTTAATTTATTGTAAGAAATTTTTTGGAACTAATTAACAGAGAAAACGATAAGAACAGTAAACGAAGTAATGTTAATACTACACTGATAATTATATATATTTTTATAGAGGTATATTTCACGTTTACCATAATTAATTTGAACCGGTGCTGTTAAATAAAAAAAAAAACGAGAAGAAACTCTGAACCTTCTTCTGGTTTATTATATCACAAGATATCACAGAACGTAAAATTTTTAAAAACAATTTTAAAATGAACACTAATATCACAATAACAATCAAATTTTTTTTTCGTTAAAATCACTTTAAAAAATTAAAATCATAATAATGTGGTATTAGTGTTTATTTTAAAACTTCTACGTTCTGTGATATCTTGTGATATTGACTACCGTACTGATTTTTGTCTAATTTGGAAGCTGAATATGAAATAAATGAATCATTATAAAGAGAAAATAAAAAGCTCTAAAGATGCAAACAAAAAAACACCAGAAAGAAATAATAATTTCTGCGTTTTTTGGCAAAAAACTATTTTGTCTGTCATTTAATGGGCATCAAGGGGAGAAAGCACTGCATCCCTGGTTTGAATTGCTATCCAAACAAAAGCGAAAGAGTCAAACTCATGAGAGGGGTTGCTGTAGTTTTTTTCCGAGGTCTGTATACAATTTTTTACCATACCCATGCCTCGAAAGTACGATTTTTCCTGATTGTAGGGACGAGAAAGCCCATCATTCTCTCCCGGTTAAGAAATTGCGTTTACTCCTTATTAGGAATGGATTTTAACATCCTCCACGTGGTTACTAATTCACACTCAGCAGGTACTTTCTTCCCTCGGTGCATGATATACTGTTGTGCTTGAGATAGGTTAATTTGGGTGTGAACCCATTGTAGTGCTGGGCAAAAATATCGATAACAGTAAAACAACTGATAACTATCGATAATTATCGAATATATCGATATATTGATAACTATTTGTCGTAGAGTTATACAATTCCATAATTAAATAAGAAAAATTCCTATTATTTAAGTGGGAAATAGAAAATTGCAAAATGCCACCTGTAAATATAAATATTAACGTTCATATTTTAACAACAGGATTTAACGTGTAGGNAAATTAGATATTTTATAAGAAAAAATAAGTAAAAAAATAAACAGTTGTATACTTATGGTACACGGATTTATTTAGAGACCATATCTAGTATGAATTAAAAATGATGTAGAAATAATGAGGTTCAGAAAGTGTAAGAGAACAGAAGCTATGGAAGTCAGTAAGAAATAGGCGAGGTAGGTTGGTAGGACATCTTCTCAGGCATGAAGGGCTAGTCAGAGACATATTAGAAGCAGAATCAGGTTAGAAAAAAAGAGGTTCTCAATTATTCGACTGTTTCTTTTTTGTATGTTAAGCAATTTCTTCACTGATTGTGAACCGATTTTATTGGATAGGCTATACTGCCAAGGGTGATCTCATTAAGATTTGAAAAAAGCATTCTAAGGGCAGAAAATTAGGGAGTGGTTCTCGTTTTTAACTTTATAAATTAATTTTGTAAGTTAAAGATGTTTGGGAGGTATGTCAAAATGCTATGAGACAAATAAAAATTTGGAAGAACGTTCCTCTTTCAATTCTAAAACTCCTGTAAAAATTACAAATCGATTCACTAAACCGTTAAAAAGTTATTGAAATTTTAAAAAATTGTAATTTTACACGTCATTTTATGGAGATTCGTTAACCGAACAGATTAAATTTATTTTTATTAACAGAAAAAAAGCTACCAGAAATTTCAAACTTTTATAATAAGTAACTTGAACTCTGGAGAATCACTTTAGCGTAAGGTTATTCAAATTCACTAAATGGTTATCGAGGAAAAAATGAAAAATTAGCTGAAAATCTCGTTTTTACTTGATAATATAATGATAATATTTATAATTGTCTGAAATAAATGCAATTTTAAAGTTTTAATTATTATTTAAACATATTAAAAAGTTTTACGCTCATTATTAATAGAGATTGAAACTAAATATTTTTTTGTTTCGAAGTTGAAATCAAGGCATATTCACTGCCAAAAGTCAGTTAAAAATTTTCCATATTATTCGTTATTTCTTATTTTATTCAAAGTTTTTGGTCAAATTCCAAATTTTCTCTCAAACCGTATACTTTTTTTTAGTATAGATAGTATTTATTTACCTCATGATATGCTGCAAAACCTAATTAATCACGAATTTCTAATTTTATGTACTCTTGTCTCCGATTGTGCCTCCCAAACATCCTTAACCGTAGGCATATCTCTAATTGATTATTATTTTGTCACATATGCACTATCGTCACTTATTTTTTTGGTGTATAATATTAAACAAATCCATAAGCAACATGTGTTCTCGCTATTTTCACGATACGTACCAGTTTTTTTTGTTACGCTCGTTAAAAAAAATGACCCGATGAAATCACCGTCTTAACCCAATTTCCCATTACAATATTAAGGTTGAAACTTGTGAGATCATAATGGCAGAACTTTATAGATGGTAAAGTAATAAATGCCATATGTCGATGTTACATACTAACGCATGTACGAATAAAAGTAAACAAAATTCGCGATTTCGAAAGTGAAGTGCAACGTCGCGTCAGTTGTTATTACCCAACGCGCACAGCACTCTTGATTTTCTTGAACCACTTTGTCTTAAATTAATTATTTTTATTATTATCCTTTTCTTAAGTATTTATCCGCTTATAGATATACATATTATATTTGTTGGTCGTTTGACCTGTTTAAGAATAAACATTGGAATTTTGTTAAATTAATTATTAATTATTTTGCTATTGTTTTGTTTCAACGTTTGTAGTAAGTAAATGACAACTGTATATTGTGCACACCGCCAAAGAATGCATACATAATGCATTATTATATCATGTGGTAGGTACAAATAAACTAGGTACCTACCTACTGTGTGCCACTTTTTCATTTCACATAGTTACTTACGTATATACGTATAAATGTATATGTATGTACTTGTGATACCTACTTTGAAGCTTATTTTGTAATGCAAAATGTATATGTGTATTACCTGCTTCTTAAAAAACTGTTCTAAGCCAACTGAGCTCCCGAATACCTTTAATTTGATTTATATTCCTTTGTTATTTATATGAAAGATGGTACCACCCTTGGGATAGGTATATGGCCGATCCAATAAAAAATATCGTTAAAATCAGTTCTGTAAAAAAGTCGCTTAACTTAAGCAGGTATATACACAAAAAAGATGCATTCATTGTATACATATTTTTTTGTGTATTTTATAAATGACTAATAATGATTAAAAACAAACTTGATTCGTACGTAAAGTACAAAAATCACTCATTGCTTTACACAATTTTGTTGTTTTAGTGTTATCTTCCAAACGATAAAAGTATCTTTATCAAATTTTATTGTCTACCGAAGAGCATCATGACATCATAAAATGAAAGTAAAAATGCTGAATATGTTTTGGTTTATTTTACGAAAAACTCGTCGTAAATGTAAATACATATTAAATTAATGCATTAATGCGCCACACGGACTAAACTGGTCGTTATCAAGCTGCATATTTTCAGAAGTTTCGGGACAATAAGTGTGGGTTAAGAAATGTATTAGTCACATAAAAACTAGACCATTGTTTACTTGATTTGACAAATAATTCTATAAATCAATGCGTTCATATGATTGTTCAAAGAACTATTACAATGGTTGAAAACGTCTACAAATTAAATTTATAATAATGGGGACGAAAAATCGACTTAGTTAGGCCCCATTTCTGGGAAAATTCCTATTGTTTGTTTTTCACACAAAAAGGTCACGCAATATGATTTGTTTTTCATTTTGATTTTCTCAATAACCCAATGGATAGAGCGTAGGTCTACTGTGCCGGGGTGTGCAAGTTCGAATCTTGCAATTTGAGCTGTTTTTTTTTTAGTTCTTTTTACAATCCAATTGTTTATTAAAATAATAAAACACGTTAAAAAGTAAAAATTTTTTTGATGAAGGAGTCGACGAAGTTTTCTTCTAAAAAATCAAATAAAAAGTTAATATATTCAGTGAAAAGCTGCAATAGCACTTCAGACATAGATCTTCACTCTTCACCTACATTAAGTACTTTCCAATAAAAACTAACCGTTTTATATATGTAAAAAATATATTCGGAAAATTAATAGAAGCTTGGATGAAAGTAGTAGGTATCAAAGAAGTGAATTCCGGAATAAAAATTGTTCACGTCATTTTAATGCACGATTATATTTCAGCAAGTATTTACCATCAGCCATAACCTTAATATTTAAAACTAGAATCATTCTAAAATTATAAAGTGAGAAATTATTTATTCCTGTGTAATTGATTTAACACAATTCTAATGATACGATATAAGTATTTTGAGGTTAAGAACCTACCTGCTGCAATACAACAAAGTTGCAATAATGTGTTTGCAACGTTCTCTTA